ACAGAATTTGATCTTTTTATTCCAAAATGTTCTCAGCTGACAAGCAGGGAACAGTGGGGTAGAGCAGGTCCTCAGCTTCTTTCTGGCCTGTACAGCAAGGCCAGGAGAGTGAGGGTGACTGATAAAAATCTGGGATTCATGCCTGTGTGAGTGGAGGGAGAAGGGGGGATCCAGCAAGGTGAATCATGGGAAAGTGGCAGGGTCTCGGAGGAAGCATGAAGAAGTAGGTCACGTCTGAGGGAGCCGGCTCGGCCAACGCACCTTTAACGTCCTTCTCCTGGTTCCTCCAGGCAGTTTGAAATCCACTCCCCGGACACTAAGCACATGGTGATCCTCAGGAGCAAGGACTCCGCCACCGCCCAGGCCTGGTTCAGCGCCATCCATGCCAACGTGAGCGAGCTGCTGCCCCGGGTGATCAGTGAGGTCCGAGAGCAGCTGGGGAAAGCTGGCCTCGCGGGGGGACGTGAGATCCGGCACCTCGGCTGGCTCGCGGAAAAGGTAACGAATGTGTTCCTGTCTTTGTGGTCGTCCTCCAACCCTGGGCCGCAGGCCAGTTCTCTCCTTAGCAGGCCATGCGGGTGTCTCATGTACTCCAACCAATCGCCTGCCTTGTGCACTGTGCAGAGAATTTCTCAGTCAGCATGGATGCCCCAACCTGCTGTCACATGCGAGGCAAGCTGCATGTGTCCACAGATTGCTGAATGGATGCACAAGCAGATGGGCAAAGAGCCTGAGTTTCATAGCTATGTGTGAAGGGCACGAAAAATACTGCACACTCATCACAGAGCTGCTGCCCAGGGAGACGGGGAAGTCGATGCGGGGGAGGGGGTGCTTCGGTGTGTTTGCTTGTTCACTGCTGGTCCTTTAGGGATATTTCCATCTGTTACCTTTTATACATGATAACTGCAGTAGGGAGAGCAAGGATTTCTCGAGCAAGTACTCTGTGCTAATTTTTGTACATTATCTGCCTGCGGATTCTTCGTGCTTGGAAGCTGACCTGGTCTGAATGCTGTCACTAATGGGCAGCTCTCTAGGGGCAGGGGTTGTGGGGAAGGACTGTGTTTAGAGAGAATAAAGGCAAAGAGGCAAAGTTTCTATCTTGGGGAGGACAGCTGCAGTGGGAAAGGCTTTGTATCACATTAACCTTTTTTTTTTTGGAACCAGGGATTGAACTCAGGCCCTTGAGCTTGCCAGGGAAGCACTTATTCCACTGAGCCAGCTCCCCAGCCCCTAAAACTTTAACTTTTTTTTTTTGGCTTTGTATCACATTAACACTGTCACTGCGATGGATTTTCCCAAGGTAGGTGATATGTTGGTGACAGGCAGTAAAGCTCTCTTTATGTCACCTGTTGAAAGTCACCCTTTCTCTTTTTTCAGAGGACTGAGCTTTTGCCACTGTGCCTACACCTGGGTACTGTCCCTTCAATCTGACCTCCACCTGGGTACCGTCCCTTCAATCTGACCTCCACCTGGGTACCGTCCCTTCAATCTGACCTCCACCTGGGTACTGTCCCTTCAACCTGACCTCGCACGCTAGAGCACAGGGGCTTCATGCACAGTTTGGCCCCCCGGTACCTCGCATAGGTGCAAATGAGAATAATGCTGGTAGCACCAGCGGCCCTCATGCAAAGTCCCGTCACCTGAGGAGGCCCAGTCACAGGGCTCTCGGAAACTGTGCTCGGGCGCGGCATTCGGCTGCTTCCAGCATTGCTCTTCGTGCGCTGCAGCTCATGCATCGGCCTGGACCGCAAAGGTCAATTCTGAGTGGGGTGTTCAGTCTCATACCGTCTCATGTCCTGTGCCTCAGAGAGCTGGAGGTAAATACTGGTGGCGCCAAAATGATGAGAAGCCCAGCTAGAGGCAGCCTCTCAGGGATTTATGCGTCAGACTTCTTGATAAACGCAGCAGCACACATCTGGATGACTGACACAATTTTAAAAGTCAGAGTCTCACACACTCTACTTTTTAACTCTTTCCAAATCCGTATTTTATTAGGAGGGGGACTACTAGCTGCGAATCTTTCAGATGCAAGGGACAGAAAGCTCAGCACTTAGTAGGAACAAAAAGAGGGTGGACATCTGATAGCTCCCCTGTCCAAGAGCAGGCTCTGGGCATGGGGGGACCCAGAAATTCAAATGACAGTATTCTTGCACCTTCCTCTTTTCGGTGTCCTGCGCACCCCGCTGGGTCCTCCTGAGCGAGCCCTCTCTCCTGGGCCTGGAAGTTCCGGGTTTGTTTTCCCTGATGCTGCCTCTCTCCGTCAGTTGAGGACCCTGCTCCTCAGTGCACCGTGGGCCTGGGATGAAGCCTGCGGAGACGCACAGGGATGTCCGCCCCAGTTAGTCCTAAGATCAGCCTCGCTTAAGCCTGAGTAATAACAGATAAAAGCAGTGGTTCTTGTATGAAAAACAGGGTGTTGGGCGAGGAAAGGAATGAACGAATGTCCTAGAGGGGCAAAAGCAAAAGGCGTTCCTACAGAGGAACAGAAAGAGCTGATTCTGGTGAGACACGTCCCCACTTGGTCAAGGCTCTGGTGGACCAGAGTGGCTCAGTGAGAGACGGTGGTGAGTTTGAAAGCAAAGACTGGAAGGGATGCAGTGCAGGGGTTGTTCTTAAGTTGTAGGCAAAGGAAAGGGAGTGACAAGAGGAGACAAGCCTCAGGGCTGGCAGTGATGAGTGACACCACCGAAGTGGAGCCCGGGAAGGAGGGACAGTCACCTGAAACCAGCAAGCTCTGTGGCTGTAAGGAAGCGCTGTCCACTACCTGTGGGCACTGATGCCCTGCGAGTGGCTCCTGATGGCGGTGGCTAACGGGAAGCCAGGGCCGAGCGTACCCTGAGGTGGGTGAGGACCTGAGGCACCAAGGATGAGACAGCTGGAGGACAGGCAGCGCACATCCTCGGCTCGCCACGAAGCTGCGTGGTCCCTGCCCGGGCCGCTCTCTCTCCTCTCTATGTTTAAAACCATTACCATTCAGGACCTGAGAAAGGAAAGGGTATCTACACCTGTCACAGTCACTCTTCTCTCCTCGCTGGGACAAACACCCAACATGCAAAATGAAGGAAGGAAAGGTTATATAGCTCACAGTCACTGGAGGTTTCAGCCCACACTCAGCTGGCTCCAAGGCAGAGCGGCACATGGCAGAGAGCAACCTTTCATGGCGGCGGCAAAGAGCAGAGAGCAAAAAGGAGGAGTAACAGCAGCAACAAATCTCTACAGGGAGCAAGTCTGTCTCCCTTGAGTTGCATTCAGGGCATCCGCCCCAGGCTGGGAGTAGCACTCACACCCATAATCCCAGCAGCACTCACCAGTAATCCCAGTGGATCATGAGTTAATCACAAACTCTAGAAGTCTGCCCCGTGACTGCATGAGGCTTTGGGGGACAACGAGACTCAGACCATAACAATTCTTGTGACATTCAGTTTTGCCGACGGCTCCAGTTTTCGCCTTTTGTTCATGCTAGATATTAACAGAATTGGTGTTAGGAACCATGGTAAAAGCATAGAAAAACCTCCCTCATTTTTACGCAACTGTTGGGGATGCTTGCTTGATTATTTTATCCAGTACGTCCGTAACAGTGGCAGTGACTTACCAGGGACAGTTATTAGAAATACAAATATCCTATAAGGTTTTCATTTTCAGACTTCTTAAAAGATAACCATAGATCATATCCAAGAGGACAAAGCTATACTGAAATTTAAAAAAGAATGTTTACTACTAAATCCTAGTTTGGAGAAATATCAATGGTTTTTAACCAAATATTACAATGAACAGCAAATCCCTAATACTGTGCCTTGCTTGTATTGTCACAAGTATCAATGACTTTTCTTGGTATTTGTAAAGATATAACATGTGGTCCATATGTACTCAGCTGTAATTTACCTTAAATTGATGTCCTTTGTCTTGTCCTACACTAGTAAGCTTTGATTGTGTGGATGAATGACCATGGTGCTGTTACAAGGTTCTACAGATTCAATTTAATTCCAAGTTTTTAGAAGTGGAATTTACATGAGCTAACAATAATATGAAATAATAACATAAATTTCCTTTTGAAAATCCTGTTCAGTGCAAATTCTAAAGCCTCCTTGACTACCAGGAAGAAAATGTGAAATGAACATTATTCTTCCCATGTGTAGTCTGGAGAGCAGAAGAAAGGCTTCTGGGAAATGTTGGCATCTCAAGGGACTGCAAAGGAAGGGCCAGCTGCACCTCAGGAGGACAGAAAAAGCAGCCGAGTGGAGGCTGAGTCGGGGCAGCCTACAAAAGGGCGGCAGGCAGGGCCGAGGGGGTCTGCAGGTGCCCAGGAGGAAGTGATTAGCGCATCTGTGGCCCCAGTTGTGAGGGGTCCGCAGAGCTGGACAGGATGGCCTAAGTGTGATGTGGTGGGTAGCTGGCGAGCTTCCTGTACCAAGTTAGGGGGCGGAGAACTGAGAGGTGCTCACACCCGACCTCTTCTACAGATGAGGCATCTGGCTCTGCCTCTGTTACTCTTCTCTCATTGCTGGGACAAATACCCGGCACCCAAAATGAGGGAAGGAAGATTTATTCAGCTCACAGTTACTGGAGATTTCAGTCCACACTCAGCTGGCTCCAGGGCAGAGGGCACAGGGCAGCAGTTCATGCATGGCAAAGAGCAAGAGGAGCCAAGGGAGCAGCAACAGCAGCAGCAGCAGCAGCAGGGGCAGCAGAGAGGAGGTCTGTTTCTCCACCTCTCTTACATTACCTTCAGGCAGTCCGCCCCAGGGCAGGGGCAGTACTCACACCCATAATCCCAGCAGTCTTGGACCCATAATCCCAGCAGTGCTCAGACCCATAATCCCAGCGTTGGATCGTGAATCAATCCCAAAATATAGAACTGTACCTGAGAGACTGTATGAGGCTTTGGAGGGACAAATACAAACCATAACAGGGTCTCAAAGAATGGAAGCGTTTGAATCACAACAGAAATTACTAGAGAGTAGGACAACGCTGTGAAATCACTGTTTGCTTCACTGAGGTTGGAAAGAAGCCCTGCAGCTCGTCCGCTGCAATCACCTGTGTGCTGTGAGCCTCAGGAGCCTTGCTGTGGACCCTGCAAGGTCGAAGTCAGTGCGCCCTGAGCGGGCTGTGTCCCTTGCTGCGCTGACCTTGGTCCTGTGAGGCAGCCGCCATGGTAACACCCCAGAGCAGCGCTGCCTCTGGACACTGTCACCTAGACAGACTGCACACGCCAGCGTAAAGGCAGCTGGCCTCGAGCCCTTGGCTGTCTGTGATCCCCTCCACTCCTGAGGGTACGCGTTCCTCCCTGAACCCTAAAATGCTTCCAGCCCAACACATTTTCTCAGTCATTGCTTTTCAGGTCTTTTTAGTTACCTGTGCACTGAGTCCTTTCAGTGTGCCCATGTTACACAATTTGAGAAAAACAATTTAAGTTCTGACTCCCTGGCTGCATAGAAAAATGGTAATAAATAGGGAGGGACTGGCAGAATCGGGAAGCTCTGTTTTGTGCTTCTTTGCTT